ATCGTTGGAAAGCGAAGAATTTTAGAAAAAAAAACAATATCAAATAAATTAAGTTGCAGAAAGTAACGGAGGGTGGCAAAATTATATAAATAATAATTTCAGAAAACTAACATTATTTAACGTAAATCGCATGTTTCCAAGGAAAATAAATGAATTTTTTTACTAAATTTAAACTTTTAAATTTGTTTCTAAGTTTGTTTTAAAATCTACCGAATCATTAAAAACCTCATAATTTCATTTTAGTAAACTTTACAATGGAAAATAATAGTTTGATAACTAATAGTCCTACAATATATAATAATTTATAGGATAAATAATTAGATATACTATACATTCAAATCTCTCTAGGCATATATGAAACTTTCGGTTGACAGAATGACTAACTCTAATTTCAATATTATTTGTTATTAATTTTAGTGATATTTCTAGTGACAAAATTTATATCTTTATTCACAGCTCTATATTTGAACATTGCAATCACCTACTCTTGAATCTACTTACCCACTGTCTGTATAAATATAACTTTTCCAACTAGAAATATCACTAACATGGCATTACTCAAAAATGTTGAAATTGGAGTTAGTTGGAGTTTTAATGCTTACCGTTGATATAATAAATAGGCTTTTTGTAATTTTAATGATCTTAATGATTTGTTATCTGTAAATTTTAAGCTTTAGCTCTGTTTAAAATGCAATTCAAAAATTTTATAATATCACAACAAAATAAAAACCTGTACCACTACAACCTATGAAGGGTCTTGGGTTCAGTACTATTTAGAGAAAGCACAGTTTCTTGGTCAACGGTTGTGCAAGGAGGTGCTTTCACCGATATCACACTCAACCGCTAGGTTTTTCCCCTTGATTAATTATTTTAATTAAGGGTACCCACTTTATAGAGGCTGGGTATACCCCAGGGAGGTCTACCTACCCAGGGTCGCCCCACGGCTAATGAAACAGAATAAATAATTATTCTGTCATGAGCAGGGATTGGAACCTGGGACCTTTAGCATAGTAAGCTCAGTACCTTACCACTGAGCTACCCCTCTCACACCCATAATAGCCCAACAATGGCAGAAAATAATTTCTATTTAAAGTAGAGCTGTAAGTTAAAGTTGTGTGTTGCGTGCACCAGATATTTTTCCTTTCTGTTGGCATTTCTGTCTTCATCACTACTTATCTTGGTCTATTTCTTTCCAGTCATCTTTAACTACATCTATACAATTCATACATAAAAATTAGACCTATTAATCAATTTTTTTTACACCATTTTAATTTTCATCTAAAAATGGAATTACATTAATATTGGAATTTTTTCTTTGGTATATTCTGGAATAACCAGCTGTTCGGCTAAATCTGTGGTGTCTTGGTCCTGACTAAGATAAATAAGAAGCAGTAGTCTCATCTCTGAACTGAGAGTTATCTATAGTTATAATATAATAGTCACACCAACCCAAACGTGTTTTAAGTTTAGTCTATACTCTTGTACCAAAAATTAAAATACCAATAAGTAATCAATATGGGTAATAATTTGAAAGTGTTTTAAATTTAATTCACACCAAAACAAGCTTCCTTTAGAAACGATTTTTCAGTAACAGAACATTTACAGATGATAAATCAGCTAATGGAGAAGGCAAGAGTATATTATTTCTTTGAACTTATGTTTTGTAGACTTATATAAAGCTTTCAACAACATTTTCCATAACAACTTAGTTAGTGCACTTATGTGGATAGAAAATGATAGTAAATATATTACTTTAGTAAGCAAACCATATAGAGACAACTAAGGAAATAAATAGAAGGCTACTGCACAGCTGGAAGAAATATTGGTCTCTAAAATGCCTTATGTAAGGTAATTTTGAAATGAGCATAAAGAATCTTGCATTTCACCAAGTGTATTATAAAGTATAGTTGTCAGACCTGGTCTCTCACACAGACACAAATAAAGAAAATCAGGGGTTCACAGAGAGCAGTGGGGGCAAGTATATGTGGAATCAAAAAGAAAAGTAATATAATAATTGCAGTTATAAGGAAAAGAACAGAGTTATAAGACATATATGACCATAAAAAGAAAATGAAGGGCAGGAGATTTATTCCATAATAAAGATAACAAGTGGTCATAATCTGCAACTTATGGACTCCATGCCTCATGAAAACAAAAAGAGGTAGAAAACTCAAAAAAGATGGTCAGCCCTATTCAAAAAGGAACTTAGAACTTTATGGACTAGAAAGGCAGAAAACAAAGAAAAATGGAGAATAGCGGCAGACTCCTCTTCCCTGTAGAACTGGTAACCATTGGAGGGCTTATATGGAATATGGTAAATTAAATGTTGATTTAATTATTTTATATCTATTTTCACTTGTTTAAATCTCACTGTTAAGACGATATTCCAAATTAAAATCAAGAAAAAATTAGATACATACACATACCTATTAAAATCCATTTGGACTACAAATATATGGCACTGCGAAATAAACACACTTAAAAAGACTTCAAACTTTTCAATATAAGATTCTATGACTAATTACCCAAGCACCAGGGAACATGAATAATAATACTTTACACACTAACTTACACATGACGACAACTACGAACGTACTACAAACAATTCCACAATAAGTTGAACGGACACACCAACCAATTAATAAAAGAAATTAACACAATTACTATGCCGGAAAACAACAGAAGACGACTGAAAAGAGTCTGGATGAGAGACCTATTTGAATGCCACGGATGGCGTTCCTCATGCCTATCAAGCCTTATTTAATCATTTTTCTGCAAATATACAAACACTATATTAATGTAAAATAAAGGCTATTATTATTAATTAATTAATCAAAATGTATGCTTTAACAGCAATTTTATATATGCTTAGTAAGATTTCAACAAACTGATGTTAAATATAATATGTTATAGAATGCCTCAATAGAATACTGTTTTTATTTTTATCATTTGCATAATTCCCTTTGGGGACTTCATACCTACCTCCATCCAAAAAGTCCTAATTGTGACTTTTATATTTTTATCATTTATTTATTTCTCACCTCAATCATCAATTTTCTTGAATTGTAGAAGGATCACACATGTCTATTTATATTTTCACTTTATTAAATTTTCATATTTTTCTTTTACTGTTTTTGGTCAGAAGTGTTAGATCTGCAATTCATTAGTCTGTGCAAGTCAATTCTAACAGACTAATATACCTGCATATATGAATTATGCATATATGGTATTATCAGATAAAAAATTGCTCCAAAATAAATATTTTCCAATTAATTTCAAATAATAGTATTACTATTAAGTAATAAATTTAGTTTATTAATTTCTTCTGATTAGCATTTTTTTTAATTAACATGAAGTAACCCTGTCCAAATTAGAAATATTAAAAATATTTTTTAAAAACGAACAATAATACATAAAATAATTGTCAAACAAAATAAATAACAATGGCATATAAGAGTGATTCAAAAGCTTACTGACATTGTTTTTTTCAACACTAACAAAAATATAATGCCTAAAAATATGTAATTTGAATGATAAATTGTGCTTTTGATTTAGTACTAAATAAAATTTTATTTCCAATATTTTGGCTATTGTTTTAATATTTATTATTTATCAAACCATCATTAAATATTTGTTTTAATATAAAAGAAAATGAGATAATCCCAACAAGCCCAAGTGTGAAAGGCATAAATAGCTAATTACTCAATGGAAATAAATCAATACACAATATCAATAAAATTTAAAATCAGTCACTAGTAAAAAGTCAGAAATACTTTACCTTAACTGCAGTTGGGAAAAAAAATAGTAAACGTTGTCATTACAAGCCACAATACGAAATCACTAACACAACCTTAAGCCTAAAAACCAAGACACAAACCAAATAATTAAACTCCAACGAAACTGCTAATTCGAAAATTCATATAAAGAACAGAATTGAAACCTATTTGAGTCTATTTTGTTTATCAACACAGCCTCATGAAGTTTCAGTAACTTATAACCTTCACCTAATCAAATGACGTGATTAGATTTTTTTGAAAGCTGACGTAGTTATAGCTTCAAAATCAAAAATGAACTAAAAGATTTAAATAAATCAATTATTTAAAAATACTTTATTATTCTCTAACCTGTTAATCAAAATCAGCTGGTGTATATTCATAGATTTGCAAGGTTCAAGGTTTTGATGAAATATCTAAATTAATTTTGGGTTCAAAGTTGTAACATATAGTTGTGTAGGAAATAATGATGGTCCGAAATTCTTCTATCTCCGTAGGTAATGGACTTTTTGTTACCGATTTTATGAAAAAATAAATTTTTATGTCTGAATAAGAAACTGTAATGACTTTCATTTAAACTTCAAGATACCTAACACTTACCATTCCTAATTATAGTTTACCTTCATTATTTATTATTTATAGTAAGTCTAAGTTATTTTCTCTCATCTCTTATCACATTGTCTTTCAGGAATGGTAAAAGCTGGTATGTTCCACGGATTGGGTAGCTGTTTCTTTTAAGAGTCTTCTTATGACTTTTCTTTATATCTTAATTTCAAAGATATGAAAAAAGGAAGGCAATTTCAGAGAGATAGTTCCCATCATTAATATCACATAAAGCAGTTGGGGAATAAAACTGCTGTAAGGCCTATGTGGATAAAGAAATTTTTATTCCGTCCAAAAACCAAGAGGACTTTTAGAAATGGCAAGAATTGATTAGTACCGATGCAAAAAAAGAAGAAAAAAAGAACATTAGTTGTATAGAGACCATTGATGTTTTTACAATTGAAGTCCTTTGGTATATATTTATGTAATTGATAAGTAAGCCAGTTTTAATATCTTGAACTATTAATTTATCTACTATATGGATTCATATTTACTGGATTTATTACTTGTTAAAACATATCTGGAGTTTATAAATGACTATTTATGAAATTGTATTTATTTATCAAGACTATATCAATTATTGCATGTTTTTAATATAAAATATATTTTTTCAAGGTTTTGGGCATGAAGGGACTAAAGGAAACTTGTAAAAAATGTGCCGACCAAATCATGGTAAAACCTATTTCAATTATGTCTCATGATACTTTGGCTGCAAGAAAAAGGCTATTGGAAATTCATGCTCTAATGTCAAAACCTATACCTATACAATATTCATTTCCTTTATTTTCATTTAATCATAATCAAACCTACATCTTAAAATATCTCGGGCTTGTCAAAAAGCTTATGTTAGAGAATCAACATAAGAGGACAGATAATCCACAGGTTATATCCAAACGAAATAATTTTCAAGGAACCCCACCAGAAAGAAAGCCACTTCCAAAACTTCTTTATATTCAAAACCCAGTTGTATGGCTTTCAAATAAGATAGATTTTCGATTCCTACGTTATTCATGGGATCCTAGCTTTAGTGAAGAAGAATTTTCGAGAGGTGCTCGGCAGGTCTGTTGAAATTATTTATATTTGAAGGTAATTGTAAACTTATTATTTATGAAGAAAACATATTACTATAATTATTAATTGATATGTAGGCAATATCTACTGTAACACAGATGGTGAGTAAAAACATGTTTGAAAGTATGAAACCTCTTTTAACCAAAAATGCATTATTAAATTTACGAAGGGATGTTGAAATTTTATGGGCTGATGAAGTAAGAAGGAATATTGGACTGAAACCAGAAGATGTTCAACTTATTATTCCAAGAAAAATTTATTTGAGAAGTTCAACTGGTAAGTTTTATTATCACATTTCATGTCAGTAAATTTTTATTTTAACTGTTTATAACAAACAAATCCATTGTAATTGCTATTTGTTAGTACTTTTTTCATTCAGTTGTATTCATTACTACAATATCAGATACCATTTCAAAATTGTCAAGTCTGGTTGACAGATGGGTCAAGATTACACTGTACTTAGATTATGAAAGGTACAGAGGTAACTGATCTTGGTAAAGCCCTAATCTCAACTGAAAGGGACCTGTTCGGATTACTTGTTTTAATTCCTTTGATTAAGTTTAGTAAGCATCATGAATACAGTTGTCAATACTCAGCTATTTTCAGAATTCCATTTATAGCATTGTTGATGCAATTTTGACCCACATGCAAGCCAGGCATGACCTTTTTTTGTGAACTAAAACCTAATTTTATATTTAAACCAAGTATATTTTCAAAATTTATTTTATGTATTCAGATGTACTGGTCGATTATAATCAATGTGGTGATATTTCATTTACTATCTCAAACCAAATATTCTTGCTGTTTCCATAATTGTGTTGACCACCAATACTGATGCAATATGTAAGGCTAGAATCTGAACCTATTCATAAAAAAGATTCACCTTCTTTCATTGCGAACTTTGAACCCTTCATTGCTTTTTCCTAAATCTTAATTAAATAGGATTCAAGCTAAACCATTGTAATTAAATAGAACAAAACAGCCTTTCGCATTGTTAGTTAGTGTGATAAGTTTGCTAGGCTTAGACAAGAGCTATTTGGAGAGGATTGAGTGGCAGAGCCAAAAGGTATGAGTATCAAACCTATAAGCCTATTAAAATAGGTGTAAGTGACTAAACTAATGTTTTAATATAAAATAGCTTACAACATGGCTCACAATAGACCTCCAAGGTCGTAGTGTATTATCTTACAAAAAAAAGAATCTTGCCGTACTTTGAGAAAAATCATTAAGATCTAGTTTTACAATCTAAATCATATTTCGGCGATGTTATTCTTGCTTCTTTTCTAAAAGGCTTCAAGCAGTTCATTGGATAAGCTCAATCTAGATGATATTTGTTAACCTATTCCAAAAACATTTTATATTTGTAAAGATAAGTTGTCCTATATGTCCTGATAAAAACTTAGATTATAGTTTCCAATTTCACTTTTCATTCTTAGGCTAATTTTCAATTTTCTCAGTGTTTTAAGTATGAATTAGGGTAGGTCAGAGGTTCTCAAACTGGTACCTCGCCATTCTGGGATACCACAATTATATGCCAGGGTGCCATCGTGATGATATTTAAGGTCAAAATTGTTTTTGTTGAATAGACATTCTACAAAAATATAAATTTGTATTTATTAACATTAGAATACAAATTAAAATCAAATTTAAGATTACAACCAAGCAAAATTTTATTTGATGTATGTATGTTACCCCAAAAGTATTGGGTTGGCAAATAAGTCCTTTAGGTTTTTCTGTTTATTACTTTGACTTATGTATATATGTAATGTATAGTAAGGGTAAGTATTGCGATCATGAAAATTTTCGAATCTCAGTTTTCAACGGAATTACATGTTTTGAAGTCCTCTGAGTTCAAATAACCAAGTGTCGCAAAATGGTCTGTGTGTGTGTGTGTCTGTGTTAACAGTCTAGCTCTTAAGCGAAAAGTAGTACGAAACTGATATTAAGTATTTAAAGTTTGTATATGGGCCAGATGTGACAGCAACTTTTTCGTTAAAATCGGCTAACCGGAACTGCCACTTTATATGAACGCTGAAACACATTTTTACAATTTTCTCAAAAACGACTCCAACGATTTTGATCAAACTCGGTGTATCATTGTATAATTAAGTGGTCTTTAATATCATTTAGGTCTTATCCCCGTTGATGTCACTTTACAGGGCTTAAATGCCCAATGTTCATATATGTCTTCCTCTAAAGTACCTTTAATATGGTTTATTTTAAAAAGTTAACCATTTCGCATTATTCAGAGTTACGAAAAAATGCTACACATAACTTTTGAAAGAATTTGATAAGTTAATAAAGGAGAAAAAAAATTAAAATGCAGAAAAACCTGCCTTCCTACAGACTGTAGCGCCTAAACGAATGTACAGATTTCAATGAAACTTCTCTTAAGTCATATTATCGATACCCTTTAAATTTATCTATATAACATACTTCAACGGAAAGAAGCTGGAAAAAAAGTTACGAGGGATGGTAAAATTAAATTCCAAATAACTTAAAAAGTATACACTTTTTTATTGATGGTTTTTTAAAAGTTTATGGAATTTCCTAAAAAAATCGGAGTATTAGGAGGAAAAATATGGTCTCTAGTTTTTTTTTCCTGAAGAGGCATAAATTTGGATAAATTTAAAATATACATTTTTAATGGCTGAGACTAAAAAACCCTTTTTCTGCAGATATTTAATAAAGTATCTTTCCTAAGAACATTTTTCATAAGAAATAAGTACCTAAATTTATACCTTTATGCTCAGTTCTTTATTTCAACTCTGCAATCACCACCTCCGGAATCAACTTACTCATATTCTGCATAGAAACTTTTTCAACTAAAAATATCACTAAAATGACATCACTCAAAAATGTTGAAATTGGAGTTAGTCATTCTGAGGTTTATAGAAGCAAAGAAAGTTGTGTGGTTTATAAAAGCAGATGGAGCGACTAGATTTTTATTGCCTGTCGTCGATATATTAAATAGACATTTTGTAATTATAATGGTCTTAATGACTTGTTATCTGTAAGCTTTGAGCTTTAGCTCTGTTTAAAATGCACTTCAAAAAATTTTATAATAGCCCAGCATTGCCAGAAAATAATTTCTGTTCATTGTAGATCGGCAAGAGAAAGTTGTGTGTTGCGCGCACCAGATTTTTTTTAATGTCTCAATGATACACTTCTTATCTGATGAATTAACCCCTAAGGTGGATTGTTTATCTTGTTTTTAATATGTCAACAACTGTATCTGTTAATTCTTGTTGAAACTAGCTTGGTATTCTGTTTGTAATTTTTTTTTTTTTTTTTTTTTTTTTACCGGCTCGACAGGCGTCCGAAGCTGCCCTTGGCTCTCTCAATTGCCCTTTCCCAATCATTTCGGTCAGCAGCATGTCTGCTGGATACTCCCACCATCATCAAGTCCTCAGCCACGGAGTCCTTCCACCTTCCCTTCGGTCTTCCACGTGGTCTGACTTCATCCGGTGTTTCATAATATAATTTCCTCACGGCTCTACCTTCATCCATTCTGATAATATGTCCTAGCCATTTTAAGCGTTGAATTTGCACGAAATGAGAAACTCGGAGATCGTCGAATAAGTCGTAGATCTCTTTGTTCTTCCCTAAACACCATGTACCATTCTCTCTAACTGGCCCCATGATGCGCCTCAACACTTTTCTTTCAAAACTGTCAATCCTTTCAGCCAGGCTTTTGCGTAGGGTCCAGGTTGCACTGGCATAGGTCAGTACAGGTCGGAGGTTGTTTTGTATATAATAATTTTCGTAACCCTACTTAGTAGTTTACTTCGGAGGAACCTTCTTAGGGCGAAATATGCGTTGTTAGCCCCCATTACCCTATTTTGAATTTCTTCTTCTTTGTCAACCTGTTCTTTAACGATGGAGTCGAGGTACTTAAAACTGGATATGCATTGAAACGCATATTGTCACACTACATAATGCTTAGGCGGATTTATACGTGTTTTCTTCCTGAGCACCATAATTTATGTTTTTTCCTCATTTATGGATAGCCCCATTCTTCCAGCTTCCCTTTGAAACCTTTCACAGGCCTCCTTGATCGCCTTGAGGGACAGTCCAATCAGCATCACATCATCCGCATATCCAAGCCTTGAGTCATTTTACTAAAGATGGTGCCCGACTGACTAAGCTCTGCTCGATTCACCACAACTTGGAGGGCGATGTTAAATAGAAGTGGAGAAAGCGGGTCACCCTGTTTAATTCCTGACTTCACTGCGAAAAGTTGGCCCAGCTTCCCATTTATTTTCACTCGACTCGCGCTCTCATTCAAAGTACATGATACAAGTCGGATTAGCTTCGGTGGAATTCCCATCTCTTCCATTGCCAGGTAGAGCTCTTTCCTAATAATGGAATCATATGCTGCTTTATAATCGATGAAAAGGATCCATATAATCTTGTTCAATTCTTTGGTTTTCTCCATTATTTGTCTTAACGAGAATATCTGGTCAATAGTTGACCTATTCCTCCTGAAACCTCCCTGGTAATCGCCCAACCGAGGTTCCACAAAATCCACAATTCGATTTTATAAAATAACAGAAAATATTTTGTAAGCAGTATTCAGGAGGCTAATTCCCCGATAATTATTACAGTCTGTGGCAGCATCTTTCTTCTTGAGTGAGGGAATGATGACAGATTCCTTCCAGCTATCTGGCATTTTTTTAGTCTCCCAGATATTAACTATCCGATGAGTCAACTCCTCAGCCAGTGCTGACCCATCAATCTTCAAAAACTCCACTGGTATGCCATCTGAACTGGAAGCCTTGTTATTCTTAAAATTGTCAACAATCAGGACAACCTCATCTAAATCTGGTGTGCTCACTTCATGGTCATTCTCAGGGTCTCGAAAATCCTTATCAGGATACTCCTCATCTTCCCTAGGGTTTAGCAATTCCTGAAAATGCTCCATCCATCTACCTTGCACATCTTGATCCTGGAAGACCGTTTTCCCATCAGAACAATTTATCATGGGGCAGTTATTTATAAAACCTGATTTTATTTTGTTTATTTCACCGAAAAACTTTCTGGCCTCATTGTTCCTACTGTACTCTTCCACCTTACGCCAGTTTTCCTGTAATGCATATCTTTTCGTTTGCCTCAGAACCTTTTTTGCATTAGCTCTGGCTTCCTGGTACTCCTTTCTGTTCTGTCTAGTATCCCTGTTTAGAAGTTTTTTCCTCTTTTCGTTCTGCACATTGACTGCTTCTTCACACTCCATGTCAAACCACACGTTTTTTAGGTTTCTATTTCCATCCCTCTTACGATGTTGGTCAGCTGAATCAGATATAGCTTTTCTAATATAGTTCCATTCTTCATTCACATCTCTTCCTCCAATTACAGCTGGGATGTTACCTACACCTCTTTCAACGTCTCTCAGGATAGCATACCTTATTTCCTCTTCCTTTAACATTTCTCTTGCCCAGGTGATCTGTGGTTTACTCCTTTCAAACATTCTTATCTTATATGCATGTTTGATCTTTGCTACTACCAGAAAATGATCAGAAGAGATGTCTGGCCCCCTATATGATCTCACATCATTAACTATATTAAAATGTCTACTAGAGACCAGAACGTGATCGATTTGTGTTGCAGTTCCATTTAGTGACATCCATGTTTGCTTGTGTTTTTCTTTTTGAGAAAAAACTGTACTCGTCACTACTAGTGATCTAGATGCAGCAAAACTAATCATTCGTTCTCCATTGTTATTTGTTTTCTCATGCAAGCTCTTGCTATGTTCCTGGCCTCGCGTTTCTACGGCGAGTAGGGGGTTCCAGGAACCGCATTTATTTGTATTTATATGTATTTATATCGGTCCCAGAAGGGAACCGATCAACTTAAAATATATTAATGATGTATTTAAATGTTAGATACCACAGACCCCCTACTGTAGTATCCTATATTGAACCATATAATTTTTATTGGATTTCCTTTCTAAAGGTATCATGTTTTTAAATTTACTAGTTGTTTCTATTACTAATTGGTGGGGCATGCAGGGTAGATGGTAAAAGTACTAAGATAGTTTACTAACTAATATATTTACAAATTTATTTAACCAAAACATATATACAATGATAATGAACAAACCTATATACATAATAATTGTTGAGAATCATACTAGAGGAGAATGCTTGATATTTGATTAGAGTTACATGTGTTCTATTGATTCTATTAATTAACGATTTATGGTTGCCAACACAAGTTTACATCATTATTACTAAATGAGGGTTATTATCTAGCTGGTTCTTCATCATCTTCGAGTCTCCTTCCATGTCGTTCTCCTCAGCGTCCGTCTTCCTCCCAGTGTTCAACCGTCTTCGCTTGACCCCCAGCAATCAGTCCTATCTTGCTCTCTCCTCCTCTCCTGATCAAGTGCTTCCTCAAAACTCTAACCGTCCTAGCTTCCAGACACCCCCCTCTCTTTTTGTACTTTTTCCTGATTAGCTGAATATTCCTAGCCTAAGGGATGACCACGCCCTCTCCCCCAGACCTTTAGGTATTCCACTAACCAGGTATATTTTACGTATTTCTGGAAGATGTTAATAGTAATTCGGATCCTGTTTAAACACTCAGGCGTGAGACCGTTGTCGGTCTTGGTCGGTGGTTCTTAAGAGTTTTTATTACCACTTACAAAAGGTTGCCCCTCGTGGGTTGTTACTCTAGCTCAGGTATCGCCAGATGTGAGCACTTATGATGTTTATTTATTTATACCTTTAAAATAATTATTCCACCGGCGGTCTTTACAATACATAGCACTATGTTTGCCAATGGTAGAGGTAAACACTGGTTCTTTACCAACCTGAGAATTAAAATCACCCAAAACTATTTTCATATCAAAGGAGGGGGAAGCAGCTATAGTTCTTCTGTTTGTAATTGCACTGTGAATATGGAAGAAAATGTTATCGTCATATTTCGTTCTATTATTTTAAAAAAGGTAAGCATGCTGCAGAAGCTCATACTGCAATTTGCAGTGTTTATGGGGATGATGCCTTAACCGAACGCACCTTTCAAAATTAGTTTCCAAAATTTCATTTAGGAAATTTTAACATCAGTGATGCTCAACGGTCTGGTCCTCCACAAGAAATTGAAACGAGCAACGTTAAGGCCATTGCTGATTAAAATCCCAACCAATCAGTGGAAGATATTGCTATGGCTCTAAATTTGTCATACACAAGCATAGAAAACCATTTGCACAAGCTCGGCTATGTTTCCAAGCTTACTGTTTGGGTCCCTCACATGATTTTTTTTTTGAAAATCACAAAAAAATGTTATAATCTCAATAGGACTTTAGCTATCAACAAGACATTTAGCAGGAATTTAGGCCCACATAAGCTACACAAAATGACATCAACAGGACCTTCGTAAACAAACTGCAAATGGAGATGAAAAATAAAACCAATAAGGAGTTTTTGTTTATTTATTCCTTATGTCAAAATAAAAACATTCATACGGATTTGGATAATAATAATTATAATAATAGTAATTATAATAATTCAGCTTTCCAACGGATACAGTTACATCAAATTTGGAGAACATCCTAAGAGTTATGAAAGACCAGAAGGGCGTTGTGTTCCACCAAGACAACACTTGGTCACATTACATCCCTAAGAATAATACGGAGAGACCAAAATGTGGGCTAAAGAGCCTCAGAGATACATAAACAAGAATATAGTTTGATTAAATAGTAAAAAAATAAATAAATAAAAAAAATAATAAGAGAAATTATAAGTTACTTTCTAATTTACATCAGTTAATAAGAAAAAAAAAATTGAAAATAAACATGAAGTAAAAATAATAAAGAACGATCTAATAATTTATATACATATTTACAGTAGTAACTATTTACAATTTTATGAGGACTGGATGGATAAGAAATGATTAAACAGTTGGTATTTAAAGGTAGGAAGGGTTTTGGATTGACGGATGTGGGGAGAGATGGAGTTCCATAGGGAAGATGATCGAATAATAAAAGATTTATCGAAAGCAGCGGTTCGGTAGGCCATTATATATAAATCTGAAGACCGTGAACGGGTATTGCGGGAGTGGACAGGTGATGAGCGGGTACTCTATGGACCAAGGGAGCATCGGTTGGAAGCTATACCTAGCGCGAGCCTTAACCGGCCTCCAACCTAACTCTCTGGACCGGGTACGTCCAAGAAGGATGCAGGCACACAACCGGTGCCCACGGAATAAGACAAACACTACTACCATAGCTTCCGTCCACTCGTCCACACATTGTACCAGAAGTTAGCCTGAACAATGTCAAGACTAACTAATCACTGGTTTCGTGCAGCGAGTGGTCGTAAACACATCGACCACTACGACCGCCACGGCCGAACAGTGCAAGCACTCTCGCCGTCCACCCAAAGCGCCGCCTGCACCTCCGCAGTCAATGAGGGACACGACTCAAACCTAAGGGTTCGAGACGATGACCGTCCCCGTTGCGGGAGTGGACAGAGGATTTAAATTGAAGGAAGGCGGGAGTGAATTACTTGGAAGAGGAAGGTTGCCAGGAAATACTTATGACGGTAGGAAGGATAAAGCCACTTCAACTCTTCATAGAAACAGGAAACAGGGGCATCTCTTGGGATCCCGAAGATGAATCGTACAAAGCAATTTATCAAACGTTTTAGTTTTGCCTAGAGATCCCCAGAGACGCCTCCATATACCGTGCAGCAATAGTCGAAGTGGGGAAATATTAAGGAGGTGACCAGGAGTCTACGGATTTCAAAAGGAAAAAGGTTTCGCAGGCTATTTAAGTGTTTTAGAGTGAAAAAGGTACGTCGGGAGATATTGGACACATGGTTTTTCCAGGAAAGGGTTAGATGAAAGATTATTCCAAGATTTTTGATGGTGGGATAAAATTTAATGGGATTATGTAGGAACAGGGTTGGAAAGTTATGAACAGTTTTGAGGAGGTATTGGAGCCTATTAGGATTGCCTTGGTCTTTTCCGCATTCAACTTCAGCTTGTTAGCTTCTGCCCCGTCATATATTCTATTTAAATTTTCTTGAAGCTTTTTTGTGGCAGCTAATAGGTCAGAAGGGGGGAAGGACAGGTATATTTGGAAATCGTCAGCATAGATGTGTTATTTTGGGAGTGATGGATATAATTCCATTTATTGTGAAATTATTACTATCTTTATTTATGTTAACATTATTTATATTTATTTCTGTTCTTATTGAATACAGAACCAAAATTGCTGATTAGAGGAAATAAACCAGCTTTTCTTACCTTGATAACTCCTCTTAAGACAGTTACAGTATCTGGTAAGTTTGAGCACATAACTGCATGTTATTTTATGTATTGTCTGCACATAATTCATATCCAATTGAACATTTTATTGTTTGTTTCGGCTTAACAATATGCATGCAGTTCTTTTGTAACCATTACCCTCTTTCCTTTAGACAGAAGTAAACTATGAAAGATCTATCTTCCCCTAATTATCGCCTTATCAGAGATTCCTAATTCAATTTTATAGATGTGTGAACTGCTATCAACTTTGTTTTTTAAAAATAATCTACCATTTTTTAATTCCAAATCTTACTGAACATTAAATTTCATGAAGATTAGGTCCTTGTTTATTTTTATTTTTATTTGTTACATAGCTTGTATACTGATGTTATTTGTTATAGGTCATAGTTCCACATACTGTACAACAAAGACATTTATATTTTAAAATGCGGAATCAAGTTTCATATATATTATCAATACCTTTTCAGAACAAACCCCTTTTGCTTTTCTATACATATAAGGGAAAGTATTGTAGTGTTATAAAATTTCAAAACAGAGTTTTCTATAGAAATACAGTTATGAATTCCCTTGAGTTCAAATAACTTAAGTCTCATAAAAATCTAGTTGTATCTCTGTATGTATGTGAACAGTCTAGATCAAAAACGAAATTCGTATGAAACTGAAATTACATATTTAAGTTAGGTGTATGCCTAGAATATAATACAGAAACTGTTTTACCTATCAACGAACATCCCATTATTTGAAAATTAATATCATTGAATTTTCACATTTTTTTTTCTCAAAAAATAGAACGAACAATTTTTATTAAACTCTTTATATCAATGTAAAATAAAGTTTTCTTTAACATCAAGAAGGTATCATCTTTGTAATAGCATGAGTGAGGTTAAATACAAAATTTTCAAAATTTCTTCCATTTATATTTTTCATTTTAATAATTAACAATTTCTCATTTTATTTTGTAATCAAATTGGTTAAAACTATTAAATATTTTGATAATAAAATAAAGGTAAAATAAGGTAAAAACTTATGGTAATTAGTTGTTTTGAACTAATGTTTTATAAGATATATTATATTTACTTTCGCTTCTCTATCTCCACTTGGAGCGAGGTGGTCTGTGAAAGTTGTGTGATGCATGAAACAAGCCAGATTTTTTACAAACCTTTCATCATTTTCTTCATCAACCACAGTCCTCAGAGGACTTAAAAAAAAAAAAGTTTTGTGAATTATTTTAGTTTGAATGTGCTGATATTGTGTAATTTCATGTTCATGTCGTTTTGAATGAAGTTCTTGTCTCAATTTCCGAAGGATAGCCCTGAGGGTGACCCACATGTTATTGTCGAAACATCGGCTAACCCAGTAAAAATATCTTGACTAAAATTCCTGACAATTATTTTTCATCGTTATAATTGATCAGTCGACTAGATAACCCATCCATAAATTTTTTTTCTTCTTTCTCAGTGTTATGCTATCAAAAGCCCTTTTGATATTGGCCAATATCAAGAGTAAATGCACTTAATATAGCTATTTGTTCTGTTCTGTGCAGCTATCCTTGGCTCACTGGCCACTTCATTTTTATTTAATTTTTTAAAGAAATAAAAATTATTCGCACCCCGGACAGAAAAAAAGACCTCTCGGGCAGCGTGGCTTCTCCTGGTGGACTTTCACCCATCCAAGTACTAACCACACTCGATGTTGCTTAACTTTGATTACCTATTGCAAGAGCTTTAGCCCTTAAGAAATCAAAATTGTTCATACCCCTGGAGTATATATATACATATACACAAAGTAAAACTGTGCAAATGTCTATTATTCCCAAGAAAAATAAACAATTAACCGTTACACTGCAAATATTGTTGCATCTGGGTAGTTATTTATCAAATTTGGAACTTGCCCTTTGTTTTTGGGGCACAGTATATTATGTACCAATTAGTATTTATTTTTTTAATTTCAAAACATTTTATTCTTTTTAATTAGTTACAATATTAATTTTATTTTTATTTATATAAACGTGTTTTCGTTTAAACATTGTTGGTAATTTTTTTCAATGTGCTTCGACTACAATAGCATTTACTTTTAGATCTTTATTATTGTAGTTTATCATTTTAAAAATATACTTTCGATTTTTTTTAATGATAAAGTAACATACATCCTGATTGGACTAACTATTTTTCCCTAAGAATTTGAAGCTTTTGCCGTCATCAGATGTTTAAAGCAATGTTTAGAAGGTTTTGTTAATTTATGATAATCTAATGAAAGAATAAGTTAATATTTAAATTATAAGTTTAAGGAAATGCAATGGTTGAACCATGGCAGATTGTAAATTCTATTTATAAACAGATAACTTACAAAATATATGTAATAAACCTTTACGTATCAAACATTATTGATTGGAAGTTGTTCTGACATCTTAATGTATTCAAATCAGATAAAATTATTTGGTTTGTGCGGAGTAATCGAGAAGATAGTGCCGAGTTCGGTAATTGACAAGCATTATCCAATATGCGAATAAAACGCAAGGGACATGATAATTTGTATTTTTATGGATCTGAAATAAGATATAATATAATGAAAAGATTTTGGAATCTATTGAGTTTCTTTTTTTATTTTGATGACTTAAAAATTTAATAAATAGTTCAACTAAAGGGCTTATATTATATCCTTGAAGACACCATTTGTGAGTGCAACCTTGTTGTTTTGGAATTCCCTACTTCTGTATTCAAATCCTCATCCTTAACCTCATTTATTTTTCTGTCTCCGCAACAATCAATCTTCCAAATATATGTAAGAATAATATTTTTATGTTTTTTAGAGCTATCACCTCATTTTACTGCTGTCTTACATGTACTTATATATCACCTATTGTTTATATGTAAACACACTCTCATACATCTACCTATAATTCAAATGTTAAGTTGTGCCTATCTTAATTTTAATTTCAAGACTCAATAGCAATGTAATTTAATTAACAAGAAGATGATTAACTTTGTATGCCAGACAAATGTCACTAAATTGTTCATTATAATTTCTTTTAGTGTGCTGAATGCTCCATACTAAAATTTACTTTTAGCTTTTAGGGTGAAGCCCCTCTCCCCAAAATCAAATCCTGGATCCGCTTGTGTTGAAACATAAATGAATGCATAAATTGTTTTAAACATTAAATATTTTTAATTACTCTGTCATATTTGTAGATAAGAGACTCTGTGATATAGATGTCTTATTTATCGGGATGAAATGGCTCGAAGAACACGCTTTTAACACACCTCTTGTCTTTGTTGACATTGTTTCCAGGTAAATTGATTATTTCTTATTTCTATACTAATTTCAATGTCATGTGTTATATGCTCATCTCATAAGATTTTTACAAACTGAATTGCAGTTTTCCTAAAGAAATCTATCAAACTGTAAAATATGTCCAAATTGTGGAATTACCAATGCTGAGTATTCCCAAGATATTATCTGAAATAAAATAATCAAATATAGTGGACCCTCCTCATAAAATGATTCTGGGATAAATGATGGCTGATTTCATTTATCCCAAAAGGATTGGGCTTGGTGGTATTTTTTTCCACCTTCAGTTGATAGTTGCCAAGAGGTTATCTCACTGTTCTTATTAGCTATTGTAAAATACCTAAATATTAACTAACTTAGATGGTAAACAAACTACAATACTCCATATCAATCAGTCTGAAATCCTTGTCTAATATGCTCGTTTATCATAAAATCGTAGTGATTGGTAAATTTTATTAACATATTAGACAATGCTAGTTTCATTATCTATTTATCTATCATATACAGAGGTATAAGATAAACATTGATTTATTAAAAGTAGACCTTCAAATTTCCTATGAAAAGATGGAATTTGTGACAACAGAGAAAAACTGACAAGAAAATAATAGAGACAAATATGGACAAGTAAAAGTAACAAAGAAATTTAAATATCTGAGAGAGAAAGACAATATGCAAGAACTGTTTGGAAAAAGAGAGCATAAATAAAAGAGAAAACCACAAAATTGGAAAAACTAAGGTTTGTGACAGGCAATATTAACAATAAGAAAAACTTATCGTCTAATTCAATAATAAGACATTATGATAAAACCAGTAATTCTATACCGGATGGAGACAACAAGTCTCCCTAAGCTAGAAAAATTACTGAAAATAAAGAGGATTCTGAGGAGAATCTATGGGCCCAAGAAAACGCAGAAAGACTACAGACTAAGCCCAACCAGGAAATCTACAGGGAGACAAAAAACCTAGAAGCCGAAGTAAGAATCAGAAGACTAAGATACTACAGGCACATGATAAGAATGGACTAAGGGAGACAAAATAAAAAGTCTTTGACAGAATTCATGAAGCATAAGAGGATATGTAAAACAAACAAACAGAGGAAACAAAAAAATTGAAAATAACAGACTGCTTGGATTGGGAGCAATATGGAAAAAATTAAAAGAAATCAAGGTTCTTGTGAAAAATAAAGAAAACAGGAGGGTACTGCATAGTCGAAAGAGATGATGCAAAGGCACGTAGAAATTATTAGAAAGTACTGGGAAATAAGAAAAGCGAAAATTAGAAAGGAAAAGTAATGATATTCGCGTGGTCTTAAATGGCTGTTTCATGAAAAAACTTATGTACATATTAAAGAGCTTATATTACTGGGAGTAAAACAAAGTTTTAAAATATTTTTGTGAAAATTGGGGCATTACTTTATAAAAATGGCTACAGATTGATTGTTTTAATTATTGTCAATAGCTAACCTCTACGTTTCTCCATGTTTGTGCAACCATACAACTTCTACATTGAAAGAAGAAATGGTGTTTGTTATCAATCTAAAAATGCATCCTTTTTTTTGGATTCCTGATAAGAATAATCAATGGAACTCGACATTCTGTTATTTATTGGTAGAAAAAAGAAGTAGCTAGAAAGAACAATGACTAGATAATATAGGTAGTAGTTGACCAGTATATAGGATATCCCTTTAATGTATTTTCTGACCGACTCTACGTGTATTTGAGTATTGCCCTGCTGTAAAATTACTATCTCTTCTCATATTCCATTGATTGATGATAAATATTTGGCTTCTCTGTCAATGCATGACCACACTCCTACCTTGATTTCTTATGCTTTGGGTTATCTTAATGAATCCATTTATCACTAGTTGATGCAATATACACTTGCATTTTTGCCTTTAGAGCTGCTGAACATAAGTGAAAAATCTTTTCATGTCTCCGGTCAAAACAGAAGAATAAATAATGACAGTAGGGAAATTTGTTTTTTCTTCTCTATTCATTTTGTTTTCTACTGCTATGAAAAGTATTTGTCATTTTCTTCATTTAAAACATTCTTACTAACAGTTGTAATTCTATTAGTGTAACTTGAGTCAGGAGCAAATAAGGGATAAAAAACATTGTATCTTAAATGATTCATGGCTTTGGATCATTTCTTTCAAAAATACTTTGTATCTTATTATTTTATTGAGTCTACTATTCTAAATAATATAGTTAATCTATGTTTTGACTAATTGCTATCTAACTTCGTTGTCAGTTTGTATGACTATTTTTTTTTCCAAATATGAAAGTTTGGAAAACAACCATTTTTTCTTTAAGTTTCACATCAGTTATTTAAAAGAGAGTAGAGAAAACAGCCTCTACGATTTTAGGATTCATGGATACACCTCTTTTAAATTAAATATGAGCCTTAAAATTTGTCACTAGTCATTTGACTGTTTTTCTCTAAAAATTAGTGGTGTAAGCTTGTTTGTTTGGGCTAACCAAAGCTAACAGTCATGTTTAGTAAATGTGAGATTAGATCAACATTATATTTCTAAGAAACCGTTTCACAAAATAATTCAAATGGAAATGCATTTAGAGGTCTAAAGTTTTTTTTTTTTTTTTTGTTTATTCCTGAATATGATGTTAATATGTAGATGTACTTTCACTGCACGAACTATATGTCATAAAAGATACAAACGTGATGGTGTATTTTTTTTTTTTTTTTGTGTGTGTGACTTGTATTGTATTTAGATTGATAATAAAAGCCATTGGCAAAATAATGCTTATTATTTATTTCTGGTTTCATCCCATTAATGGTTTTATTCTTATTACACAAAAGTTATAATTGAAGGGGCAAATCATAGTCTTAATTACCTCATACATCAATCAATGAATTTCATGTGATATTTTCTTCAAATAGAAGTAGATGAGTAAAAATGCCCATTAATTGTATCTTACACAATAGTCAAGTTTGAAAATACTATGTAGTTTAAACTTTTAAAATATGATGCATACTGATAACTATGTTGATGTTTTTACATGAAAATGATAAAGTTTTGTTCCAATGCAATTTAATTCATTTTTCTCTTCTAACTTAATTTAATACCTCTTTTCTAACTCTTTAAATTTACTTTTAACCCTAATAGTTAGGGGAAGTAGTTGCACTAATATATTTATATGCATACTAATATATCAAACATGTATTAATTTTTATAAAAATGTGGACAGATTCCATAGAAACTACACTGATGGAATGGCCCCAGACTGGACAATATCAGCCTTCAAAGTGAGACGTTTCAGCTTGATTCCTCAGAAACCATGATGCCCAATACAAAAAAAATTAAAAATAAATATATAGAAAATTTTATTACAAAAAAAGTGTTCTGTTGAAGTCTAGGTAATAGCAACAAATATTTTAGTATAACTTTTATATTTATTAAAAAATAATCACAATAATTATGTAGAAGGTGTTGTCAACAGGGTAAGCTTTTCATTAAGCTGAAGTTGTGTCTTTGTTAACTGACAGAGTGTAACAACCATTAGAAGATCCTGTAACAAAACAAAAAATATTATTTACTTACAAAGAAAACCTTCCAAGTTGAAAAAATTTGGTGTTTAATCACCTTGAAGCGAAATAAAGATGTATACATAAATTTAATAGAATTGGAGTCAGCAGATTTATATGAAAAATATATTACAAAAAATAACAAGTATCGTTGGCTAACTTCACTGAGATTGTAAGTGAAAATTTTATGGTTTTAAGTAAAAGAGTATTTAAGGACCTTATTTATTAATCCTTTTTCATTCTTAGTAATTGATTTATTTGGATATTTACTTAAATTTTTTGTATAGTCCTTTATTTGATATTTTACAACTCTTTTATAAATTGTTACATCTGTGAAGTTAACCATCGGTATTTCTGGTTTATTACACACAATTAATGATAAGCGTAGTTGATGAAGTTTCACAAATTATAATAGTAAAGTAATTATTGATTACAAATTAAGGCAGAAATTTAAGCAGTAATTAATTATCTAGGAAATGAATGAAAGGATTTTAAGATGAAGAAGGAAGGACATTTAAATAGTTTAATAACTAAATATGAATTTAGATTTTGTGAGTCTGAGATTTGTAATCCTGCATATTATAAAAAGTTGATATGTTAAATCTAAACTATTATCTTAAATTTGTTTAACATTTTTTAGACTGTGATAATTAGTTTTTCTCTTTTGTAATTTATGAGGAGGAAATTAGACTAGCTAGAAAAATGTAGTAATTTAATAACTGTTTTTTTAAAGTGCTGAATTCCTCGCACAACAATAGTATATTATCAACACAAAAAAATTATTAACTGTAATTCATTCATTAAATGTAGATACAATGATAATAATAATAATAATAACAATAAATAATACTGCCTCCCTTTTGAACTATGTTTCATTTATTCAATGAAATTAAATGGTTTGGGCTCACAGTTGGGTCCTTACAGATTAGGCTTCCAGAATACCTCTCCTCTCACCATATGCCAGAACTGGCCAGACAAAACAAGAAAGGTAATCGGAAATGATAAATATAGATTGGATGTAGGGTAAAGGAGAAACTCAATCCTGCCCAGTTCTATAATTTCTTCTCTTATGCTTCACAATGTTTATAGCAAGGCTTTATCTTGTTGAAACAATTTTTTTTTTTTGGCCCTATCAACACTTTGGGCCAATGAATATTGGTCGCCAACATGTTGGCATCCATCCTTTCATCCTGTTCAAGCAAACATAGATAGGAAAACGCTAACAGTCCATTGCCACTCTGCATCTCATTTAGACCGAAACAATACATTGTATGTTGTTAGCTTGGCCTAGTGAGTATGCATCTTCAAACCAAGGCCTTGAGGTTAGTCAATGGAATGAGTCTGCACAAGGAGAGGAGACCCAAAATCAACTGGTTTGGCTCTGATTTGCATCCAGAAACACTAAAGAAAGCAATTGTTTGTTGCCTGAGATTCGCTTAGTATGTATATCAATTTTATTAATCCTGGGTAATGCCTGTTCACATCAAGGATTTTTCATAACTTATAACTACAAAGTTCTGAATTAAAATTTAAATGGTTTGACCTTTTACGCTAATAAATTATTTCTTCATAATTCTAGAATACAGGAAGCATTGTCTTTTTTATTTGTTCAAGTTAAATCATTGCTTGTAGGCCTCAAGATTTTTCCAATAAATTATCACAAATATTAATAATGAATAGCAATAATCAAATTAAGGTCATTTGGGTTTTTCAAAAGTTTTGTTTAGGAACTTTTTTTTTCTCTCGAGGCCGATGTGTCACCAGTTTTCAATTTCTGGAACAATCTATTCAGAAAGAGCATCCTCTTCTCCAAATCACTGCACCAAATGATTATTTCATTGACAGAAAATGTAAGTTTTCAAAAATGGCATAAATATACGAAAATACCAATATTTTATATGTTAGTGACGTGTTGCACAACTGAATATTTTAAGTTAAAACTATAGGCAAGACAAGACCACTTAGTTTAGTCAAGGCATTAAAGTGACATCAACCTTAATTGGATATGTAATACAAAGCTAATCACTGAATAATTACATTTTCCAAGAAGATAAAATAGGTCATTTTTTATGAAATCCCATTATTACAAACATAAAATATGAATAAACAGGATAGATCAATAAAGAGTACATAATCTTTACACAAAACTTCATTATTTGTTATGTTATAGAGTCTTGCATAAAATCAAATATTTTTTTAGATTAATATAACAAGAAAAATGTATAGATAAAAAAAAAAGATGTTAACACTCCTAAATTAAAATAATAAAAAAAACAATAATAATCCATAGTTCCGTTCCGTGAGCAAGGCATTTATAGTACAGTTTATGTAAATTCTGAAATAAAACCTTATTTTTTTAAATTTAGAATTCACAAATTTCAATTCGATATGAAATGTCAATTTCAAACTATTCTGATATATTTGGATTTGGTATTCATATTTCGATTATTAAACAAAAATTCGAATTCCAAATTAAAACAATCCAAAAGATTTAAATAGATGTTGAATAAATAATATCTGGATTACCTGGATACATTTATACATCTGTTTTTGTATAACTCTATTCATAATACAGAAAGACTTTTCATGGTGAAATAAATATTAAATTTTACATTGATTCTACCATTTTTTTTTTTTTTATGGAGACTTTTCATGGTGAAATAAATATTAAATTTTTCATTGATATACAATTTTTTTTTATGGTTATGGTTAGCTAACATAGTATAAAAAATTCTTACCTTAATGTTGGAATTAAACATCTCATCAAATTGATCTGGGGTAATGGCGGGTACAGCATGAACCATATCGAAAAGAGCCCGGCCAACAGCATTGTCAGGGGCAGCACGTCCTGCCAGTACATCTTCTACATAAGCTAAGACTAAATCAAGCAAGGTGGTTATCCTTTCGCTAGCTTCAGCTATCAGCCCAAGATCGGTACATGCCTCTAGTCCCTTCTTTTGCTTTAACGTTTTCTCACAATGCCTCACTAATAAAAATGTAACACAGCTTTTTAAGAACTATTTAATGAAGTTAAATTAAAGTTATATGTGATAATGAAAAAGTAATAAAACTTAAATAATAATACATTTAATTGTTTATTGACTCAATTCAAAGTCATTTATGAGATCATCTGGTTTAGTTCCAACACGATTCAAACCAGTGGAACATGGGACATATTGCCAGCTCTTAACCACAACTAATTAATAAGACCAATGATGCCGTTATAATTTAAATGATAACTATTTTTAAAGAAAATTTATCAATTTAAAAAAAAAACAGAATTAAAATACTAAATGAACAACTAATTTATCATAAACGCTCATAAATAAATAAAAAACAGCATTACTTCTAACAAATACTTTAACGAAACACTAGAATAATTAAACATTTTGTTGCAGTCACATTAATTGACATAAAAACTTGAATTATTTTAATAAAGATGCAGAAATTTTTTAAGATGAATCTAATGCATACATACTTAGAAATTAGCAAATAGAATATTTTCTGAAAAAGATTAACCAAATTTAAGAAAATCCAGCCCAAAAATAAAATAGATACAGTATTTAATTGTTAAATTCATCTCTTAAAAGCTGCATTTAGGATGTTCTGTAGATGTTGACTCACAAGGAGAGATATCAAAGTCGTAGCTCACTTATTTTGACCAAATTATTTTTGGGCGATTCTTAATAAAAAAAATAATGGGCACGCACACAAACCGACTAATTTGCAAAACTTTTTTTTTTTTGGTTCGAGAACCTCATAGCCCATTTAAGGTAAGTGAAAATAAAAAAGGTTTGTTTTTAGCTAAAAACTTAGAATAACATCACATCTTTGAAATAAAGGAGACCATACACGGTTATTCAGAATAGCTTTCCAAGGCACTAATGACGTTCCAAATTATTGTGTAAGGTAGTGAATGAAGTACTGATAGAGGTGTCTGGTGGATTTTCGAACATCCGGAAATCAAAGGTTCATTCTCGAAAAGTGGAGGAGGGACTGAGGTAAAAGTAGTGGGGGAGACTAACCATACTACTGGATAGGTTAATTCACCTAGGCCTCACAACCATTATATATTCCTGATTTTCATTAAAAGTAAATAGTTAAATAGTTTTTCATATCCCTGGTTTATATTTTATAAACCATCTTTAACTATTTCTCTTAAATAGTCAAGTGGGCAACAAATTTTAAAAAATAAAGTGGAAACTTCACAATTTACTTACAGAAAAAAATTAATCTTTAACTGTTGTGTATGTTTGTCATTTCTTTTCCTGTTTTCCTAACAAATTTATTATTTTCGCAATACCTTTCATTAATTTTTGTAAGTAGACTTATATTTTACTAACTTTTGTCAAAATGATTTTCTATGAGACTAACCTTACTACTAGCTAGGTTAGTTTACCTAGGCCTCATTTTTAAATAAATAAATTCATAAAAGTAAATAGTTGTTTATATTTTTATAAACCATTTCAACTATTTTTTCTTTAAATAGTTAAGTGGGCAATAAATTGAAAAAAAAAAAAAAAGTGGAAACTTCACAATTTACTATTAGAAAAAAAATCTTTAACTGGTGTTTATTTTTTTATTAATTTTTCTATTTTTCTTAACAAATTGATTATTTTCGCAATACTTTTCTAAATTTTTTCTAAGTAATTGACTTATATTTTTCTAACTTTGCTCTAAACGATTTTCAGACACTAGGAAGTAATTATTATATTAACATTTTTCTCTTGATATCCAATACTATAAAGAAAAATGTCCAAATAAGCTTGTCTATGCTGTTTCTTTGTTTACAACTGAGCTAAATTGGCGACAGCAATAAGTAATGATTGAATGTGTAAGGATCTTCATGATCAAAGCGATCCCGAACAATCTCTACCATTCTTGTGACCTTTATTCACAAATGATTGTGTAAGGCTCGCTTATGGAATAGCATGACTACAGTCCATACCAAACACAGAGCTATCAAACATCTTTTAGCTCTATCTATATAAATATGCATTTATAAAAAATAAGATACATTTAAAACTAAATATTTCTGCTTGGGGTGAGAAGGTGGGAGAAAAATTAGAAAATTAATTTCTAAGATGGTTTTGAATACAGGAGCACTATTTTAATCTAAAAGGTATAAGTTCCTCAACAGTATACGGTATGCTCTAGGAGCATGGTATCGCATCATATAGTTATGGCTTCACTCTTGTGACATAGCTTCATACCCACTACTTTTTTTTAATGCTAATTATCTTTGCAAATAAGCATAACAAAAATTTGAGATTTTTTATAGTTATAATCCGGTCATCACTAATGAATAAAAATTCATGTAAATACCCAATTTTATTGAAATGATCAAGATTTTTAAAAGTAAATGTACTAACAATATTTTGATATGATTTTCAAAATAAATTTGCAAGCATTACTCTGATATAAGTCTATTCACGGTGAAATTATATAAAATACTGAGCAAAAAATATTTGTTACTTATCAAATTTATCACCACTTGAAAAAATGTTATAAACTTAAAAACCTAATCTCTTTTCGAAAAAACTCCTTTTTTTATAAAAGTTTTTCGTAGTAAAAATTGATTGCAAAATTAGAAAATTAATAGATTATCCCATCTCAGAGCTTACAAGAATAAAAAAATTGAAAGTTTGTGTGAACATTTTCAACGGGAGGTTAAAGGAAGCCTGGCAAAGAACTGACCAAATGTACTTCATTAATTCAAGAGTGAAACTAAAGGAACAAGCTTTAGGTGGTTGATAATGTCTGATGATTCTTTAACTAGAGCCCTTAGAGCAGAAGCTTAACAAACAAGCTCATAAAGGATATTAGAGATAACAAATTTTGAAGTTTCAATATCTCAAAACGAATATTAATGTTGTACTTATAGATAAGTTTAAAATTAAAATTTATATATGGATTTCACGGGAGTCAGTGTTTAACTCTGAGTGCAATATATGAATAATTAAAAGCAGTGAACAGTTTGAGATGTTACAGTTTTCCATACTTATGTGATTATGGTGTTCAAATAAATATTTTTAGAGGAATAGAAGTTATTAATAATGTGAATACTCACAGGCAACGGTTTCTGGATCATAACAAGTAACCTCAACAGGTATTGGTGTGAACATACTTCCTGACTTGCCACTCGGAACACCCAATGGTACACTGAAAGCAAATAAACTTTATAAGGTATAGTTTCACAAAATACAGCAGAAGCATAGCACTTCAACTTTATAAGTACAATACTTTGATTCATCCTCATAAAATAATAAATCATTAAAGGAATACACTATTAATTTTAAAAATATCAATATAATAAATATAGAAGAATATAATCAAGAAAAAAATACTAAGACTGCAAAGCTCAAACTATTGAAATAACATGAGCACCTTTTAAATACATTTTTATGTGTTAATTTATTACTGTAGGCCCGTGCGAAAAATTCGCACAGCATATTGTTATCAAATGCCAGATTAATAAGAAAATAAAATACTGCAACCTATCAAAAGATAAAGAAATCAAATGTTACTTAATCGATAAAAAAAACAAAAATTAATTTAAATCTTCATTTTTGTTTGGAACCAATGTGTTTACAAATTTCAGTAAGCTGGACTGTATCTTTGCTAAAATTCGTCCGATTTCAATGATTTTTTTTTCATTTTGTAGGGAATTTAGTAATCTTTTATATAATCACTGGCATAACCTAGGGAAAAGTGTGTAATTTTTTAGTTATTCGCAAATAAAGTTTGGTTTCTTTTATAACTTTTTTGCCTGAATTTTCGGGTTGATTGGACTATTTCGTCCGCCTGAAGGAGAAGGAAGCCTTCGAAATTGGTGGCCCAATCTTGAGATTTGGTGAAAAATTGACGATGATATGGCTTGCCGATCAAAAAGACCATCAATAAATAATATCAACTCTTCCTCTCTCGATCATCGAAGTCGACGAAATGAGACATGTATTCAATGACAGTACTACAATTAATGTAAGGTTGTGTGGATGCGAACCCTATGCCTTGCGTTATCTCGAAAATAGTACGTTTTTGGGCTTAAAAACGCAGGATCCGATAATTCCGGAGGAACTATCAGGGTCTTGCTGTACACATCAAAATCCTCTAGATCCAATTTGTCCCGTATCGATCTACAGACCTACCACTGTTCAGGTATTGAAGCCTAGCAAAATGTTTGTATCGACTTTATTTATTTTAGATAGAAAAACAAAAGTGGAGATTACGATTCGCCAACCCCCCGTGAAATTCTGAATCCAACGGTACCCCATTCATGGTATTTGAGCATGACAGGAGCTTATATTTGGTACAAAATCGATTTTGAGCCTTACTGTAATAATATATGTACGGATACCTAAATAATTTATAACTAAAAGAAAATGAATAAAAGAGCTTACTTGAGATATGCCCTGATACCCATATGACTTCCTTGTAATGTGGTATCAAGAGTCATATGAACAGGATTACTGCATTCTCTAGCATAATATTCATGAATGACAGATGAATGGCTTGTCACTTCATTTCCTGTTGCCCACCATCCAACGATACTTTCCTGTTTGTTTACTTTTAAATTCATTTCATAAAGGTCCATTGCATAGTTGAGTTCTGCTTCAACCTTAAAAAACAATGTTTCATGATTAAAATTAAAAAAAAAAATAAATAAATAAATTTTCGAGCCGAATGCCTGAATATAGCCTAACAAATTAAGAGAAACCCTTGAGAGCAGAAGGCTGTGAGATTATGCCCAAACCTTCTTAAATATATTCTAAAATTTTGATTTGTGATCTATTCTATTATGTGCAATAATTCTTAATTTGACTGTTTTTTCGATGAAAAAAAATCTAGGAACAATTATAGAATGTCTTTCTTAGGTTTTTAAAGGAATGAGTGGATCAAATTAGAAAAATAGGCGGATATATTCACCCATTAAATATTTTTTCTTTTGCACACAAGTCAATAAAAATACATTGAATTTATGGATTTTACTATTTATTTTCTGAAATCTTGATCATTCTATTTATTAATTTTTTGGTATCTTATTAAGTTGATTTTTATCTACAGTTTTAAATTTTAATTGAATTCCTAGATTTGTAATTATTGTTAAGCTCAATAATCTGAAAAAATAACTGGGGTTGTGACTATCATTGGTTGGAAACATACAAATTGTATTAAGTTTTATACTTGGGATGTAATATACAAAATGCTAGTTAAAATACTGAAATATTTCAGGAGCTTGTGATCATTCTTCAGAAACATAAATTTTATTTATGGAGAGAATAGTTGGGGTGATGAGTCAAATAAGAAGGCAAAAATAAATGATACTATTTATTTAGACATTAGCTGACGTTTCGATCTAAGTTCAGGCCATCATCAGGGCTGATTACGGAGATGTAAATCTACGGAAATTTTATTTACTTCAATATTATTTATAATTAGAAAGATTTGATGATTGGTCATTTCTGATGTAATTTGGAGCCATCTTTCATCCAGACATGACACTAGTACATTAATTATGAACTTAGATTATCAAGAAAATTAAGTAAGAGACTGTTATAATGGGTTTGTTTCTCTTCTTTTTTACCTACGATTCTTACAGGGGATGAAGGTGGGAGAATTATGCCAGAGTTAAAAGTACCTTGGCACCGGGATTTGAACTCATAATAATCTTTGGGTAATCAGATTGCAGTGTAATACATATTTTTTGCACTGAGCTCTTGATGAACTTAGTTCAAGTAATATTACTTAAGTTATAGGGCAAGCTCCTAAACTCTGCACTGAGTTCATCAATCGCAAAGGAAATCCATCAAACAGTACCGGAACTCATAGATGGAAACCATGGGTGAAATCCAGCATGTTCCTTTATTCGTAAGCAAAATTAAATCACCAATAACTCAGTAGTTCAATCAATTTCCGAGTTTCATGGATCTTTGAATGTAACTTCAGCGACATTATTAACCAATTAAATTAACATAAATTTCAGTTTCAGTAGGTTGATATTCACAAGGTGTGTACTCACACTATTTGTAATCGTATGGAGTCAATCCTCAAAACGCATACACATATATTTTATATTCTATTCAGTAAGGGCTTATATATCTTTTATTTTTCATGTGTTTAGAGACTTTCCATTAGAATCCCATAGTCATTCATAATTAGAGCATAAACCGCTGTCTATTGATGTTGGATTCAATCGGTTGATGAATTACATCAATGGAATTAGCATTAAGTTTTGGAACTTGTTAGTATGTATGGCTATGTTAGTAACAAATGAAAATATTTCGAACAGCATATCAAGAATTCAACCTATATCATTTAGAAAATTTATGTTTTGATATAATAATAATGTTATATTTTAATAAATGTTAGATAATTATTATAAAATCTATATCATTACAGGCATTAGTCACTTGACCATCAGTCTGAGTCAATTGCCAGCATTTACATTGAATAATCTTTAATCTACATATCTATACAGTTAAATCAAATAAATTCCTTACACATGTTTAGATATTGAGTAGATACTTTTAGGAATCAAAATTATAGTAAATTTCTCTTTCAGTATGTAACTATGGTATGTTAAAATAAATATTAATTCATTAGACACAAAAATAATTATTCATAAGTTAATACTTGCCATTTCTTCATATTCTTTATGTGGAACACAGAAACAGTTTGTTACTTCTACAACTCCTTTCTCGACAGACCCTTAAATAGAGCAAATAAGTCATGTTAGCTGGGAATGCCATCAATAAAATCATAATGCAATAACTGATATTTTTAGTATAAGATAAAACATTCAGAAACAATCAAATACACTTCAATCAACACAAACCACATGACATTATCAGCAATATGGCAATCGGCTGTTACCTAAAAGTGTTCCTATTACACGGTGTGCATCCGCGTTTCTTCGCTCATAAGCATCCACTATTTGAAACAAAACAACAGGGTGTACTTTCACTGTTAAATTTAAAGCCATTTTATTGTATTCAAAAAGAACTAAAGACGAACACGCCGAACCACAATAACCTTCCTAACTACAGTGTTGATAAAGCTTATCTTAAGAATATTAAACTTTAACTAAACAAGTTGTAATAGAGTTTTAAAAATACACTTCCTCATTGCTTCAAACAATTTTAATTTCGTTTATGTATAATAACGAAAATTAATTTATGGAAATTTTAATTATTGCGACAGTGGCGCTGTTTACTCCTTGTTCTTTCTATAGTAAGGCTATACCTCTTGGTTCCCTAATATCGCGACAAGTTTTGAGCTTAGTAATAATTGATTTTTTATTAAAAGGAGGATAGACAAAATAACAATTCATCAATTAATCCAATTTTGTTACTAATAAGATTTCATTTGCTCAAGGGTGTAGCCTAGAAGGGGGGGGGGAGCAGAGTATGGCAGCTGCCCTCCTTCCAATCTGGAAAACATTAATAATATAATTAATGAGTTGCTGAAAAACAAATTGACAGTGGATGGTTGATTGTTAGTGTTTTAACATTTTGAAAGAAAAACCTAATGACGAAAAAAGGACCTTCTCTAAATGAAAATAATGACATTTTAAAAACATTGTCCCCTTGGATAGTATTCCTTTCTATTTTTACCAACGTTGCAAAACTACTTTTTCATTCTAAAAATAAGAAAAGAAATTCTTCAAAGTATTTTTTTTTTAATCTGTAAAGGCAGATTTACAAGATCTGTGATGCCAAAAAAAAACTATAAGTAACTATAAAGTACTTTTTAAGGTGCTTTACATATTCCAAAAACTATGGGAAACACAAGTATTTAAATAGTTTTCTCCTATGTTAGTGGTTTTGTTTCTTGTTATTGATGTATTCCATCTGTTGTCGGTAACAAAAGAAATTTTTAAAAAGTTGGGCCCAGTGGTAATGTGGCTATTAATTCTTCTTCTCCATATCTCACCTCACGTGCCTCCCTGTCCCGGCTAAGCTGCCTCATTTCTCGGAGAGTTTTTCCTCTCTTTCCTCCTCTCCGCTGTATATACTCTTAATAGGAAATTCTGGGAAGGCCTCGTGGTCACCTCCCAATGGATCGAGCTTCCACCGCTTTCCGAAGTTCTCGTTTATCCTCCATCCAACAAACGTGGCCAAACCACTTCAGTTCTCGATTTTCAAGCTTGGTCTTTAGTTCAACACCTCCAGCTCCTCCTTCGTCAGTTCATTTTTGAAACGGTCCCTTCTGGTCATTCCAACAGCTCTCCGCTGGATCTTCATCTCAGCAGCTGTCACACTGCTGGCCTGCTTGTACAAGTCAGGGTTGGTAGGTACACAGACTTCTATATGTTCACTTTAGTTTCTTTATTAACGTCTCTGTAACCTACTATGGTGTTGTATAGTTTAATAAACCCGATTGGCTTTGAAAATCATACTTTTCTTACTAATAGGGACAATGAATTTGAACTCACAATCTCTTGGAATTATCTTTGTATCCTATATCTTTTAGATGAGGTGTTGGAAAAATTTAATAAGTTCTTAATCTTAAACTTCCAATAATTATGGAGCTATACTGTTCCTTCCAACCGTTTTACCTATTTTAATTTTTTCGATGGCACATTCTACCTCATATTCCTCAATGACATCGGAGTTCTCCTGATTAAAATTTTCTGTAGCATGTTCTACTGGGTGATTAGACCATTTTGAGAAGTGTCCTCGATAAAACTCTTTCCACCGATCAACAATTTTCACATCTTCTATTATTGTGTTGCCGACTCGAGTCTATGATATTTCTCACTGGTTTACTTCTTTTCCTTTTCATAATAGTCAATAATACTGCTTCTTTCCAGGCTCGAGAAGGTTATTTTGTGCCCTTGTATATTGTGTACCCTTTTGAGGGGAAAGAAAGAGTTTCCCACGTTTATTTCATTATCTACACAGAAATCAATAAGGTCCATTTAAATTTCTTACCCTCTCCCCTCCATGAATTTCAAGGATACCGTAAGCAACAGTTGGACCACAGCCCGTTCTTGCAATGCGTTCTCCACTCAGTATTGCAAATCGTCCTTACCCTTACTAATCCTTATTAGCACCAAGTCGTTTCCGTGAGAAATGTTCGGCCAGAAGCTAGTATTTTTACTTTAAATAAAATTTACTGCCATGCCGGTTATTAGCCCACACAAGGAGGCTTCGTATTCTCGGAACAACTGGTCTTCTGAATCATTGTAACACCTCATAAGAAATGGTGACTAGGCTATACCCCTCCTCACCTAAACGCACCTTAAAAACATATATCGACAGCCACATTGCAAGAGCCTCTAGGTTAAATTTTATTATGAAGTACGGTTTCGCGCGTTTCTGGTGTATCTTATTTTATTTTATTTTTTTTTTCAAAAATACTAACCAAAACTTTGTTCAAATTGTAGTATTTTATTAATATATTCATTAATGTAATATTTTGTCACGCGGGCAATAATTATTCATTCATTCATGTATGGCACAACATCCCGTCACCGAGACTGGGCCTCCTCCAAGAGCCTCCGCCAGTTGGCTCTGTCTTCTGCTGCAGCTCTCCAGTTCCGCACACCAAGCAGGGTTCTCGCATCATAGGCCACGTTGTCCAACCATCTCATCCTCGGCCTTCCTACCCGTCTTACGAGGTGCAGCTCCTCCATCATTATTTTTTTTGGTATTTCAAGGGTGCTCATTCTGGCCACATGCCCTGCCCACCTTAGTCTGGCCAGTTTAATATACGTGACTACGTCGATGTCTGCATAGAGAGAACTGAGCTCCCTATTTTTTCTTTTCCTCCAGACATCACCCTCCTTTACTGGACCATAAATCCTTCTGAGGACTCCTCGCTCAAAGACACTCAGCTTCATCTCATCCCTTTTGGTCATCGTCCAAGCCTCTGAGCCATATGTCAAAACAGGCCGAACAAGGGTCTTGTATATGATCAGCTTGGTCTTCTTTGAGAGGTACCTACTTCTTAAGTGTCGACCAAGTCCAAAGACACATCTATTGGCAGCCGTGATCCTTCTTTGTATTTCTTGAGCCATGTCATTCTTGCTATTGATTTCAGACCCAAGGTATATAAAACTTTTCACTCTCTCAAACTTAAAAGAACCTACCTCAAATGGAGAGTTCAGATCAACCTCACCGCCAACTCTCATATACTTAGTTTTCCTCTCGTTGACTTCTAGACCAAGTGGTCTTGCAGCTGCTTCAAGGCTTATAAACGCTTCTCTGAGAGCCCGTTCAGACCTACCTACTATGTCAATATCATCAGCAAAACCAAGAAGCTGTGTCAGGCGATTGAAGATTATATCTTTGGCCTGAATACCGGAGTCTCTTACAGCTTTCTCCTCTGCCAAATTGAACAATAGACAGGCGAGGGCATCCCCTTGCCTAACCCCACTGCTCACTTTAAACTCTTCGGAGTCGTCAGAACCGACGCGTATTCTGCATCTCGAGCTGTCCATGGTCATCTTGATTAGGCGTACGAGCTTCTGAGGGATGCTTAGCTCCTCCAAGGCACAGTATAGTTGCGTTCTATCAACGCTGTCGTATGCTGCTTTAAAGTCCAGGAATAAATGGTGGGTGACTACCTTACGCTCCATAGTCTTTTCTAGGATCATCCTCAGAGAGAACAGTTGATCAGTCGTTGAGCGTCCTCTTCGAAATCCAGCCTGATATGGGCAATAATTATAGAGAGATATAAATACATTCACACCATATATACAGAAAACATAAAATAGAGAAAAGGTAAATAACTTCGGCGATACATATACTAAGATTGGAATGATACAAAACGGGTAAATAAATTCATAAAATAATATCGTTGTTTTCTTCGTGAAATGAATAATTTTAGTTTTTCCCTGAAAAATAAAGGCTTTCATTGCAAAGATCTCACAATGCATAACAATATATTAAAGCATCTGCAGTTTAGTACAGGACGTATAGCAGTAATTATAATTAATTGTTATACCACCATAATACAGTTGAGAGATAAGATGGATTTTAAATCAGGACTTTAGATTAATGAAATTAATACGTGTATGAAGCTTCTCACTGATTTCTGTTTTTATTTCATTTAATAATGTATTGTACCTGGGATACATCCCAGGTGTTGTGTTTCTATACATTGTATTCCCCCTCCATCACTCTCCCCTCTGACAACTTCAAGGAAGGGTTTCTAGAAACTATCTCCTACCCACTAGGATGATACCTTTAATGTTACAAAATGAATACTTTAATTAAATAATGTATCAGTCCGAATATTTAAGTAAGTAGAATATATTTTGGAGATAATATTAGGAAAGTTCTATTGGTGAATATGTATTCAAGTCTAACACATGTGCTGCAAATAGAACGAATTCAACCAATTTGATATTTCCTTATTTCCATATTTTTCAAATCCATGACATGAATAGATGCCGATCTGTAAAACGGCGGTGTCTGACTTTTTGTTGTACTTCTAACTTTGAACAACTCCCTTGCAGACAGTGTCTGAACTAGGACAATGATTACAACTCCTATCTTATTCTGTGGTTTCCTCATATACAGTCAAATCGTCCAACTGGTGATTTATTGATGGGATTCGTTTTTACTATTATCACAATCTTACTTCTTGCGAAGTCCATCAGTATGTATAAAAGTCTTGACATTTACTTTCCCAAAATAATTCATATACTTTCCTGTCATACCAGCTTATACCCTTCATCACTTGGTTTGACTAACCAAAACTTCGCACCCTAAACTTATTCGCTAGAACAGTTTCCTCTACGCAAACTGTTATTAAATCCTTATTGGAATTTCTAGCATTCCTAAACTTTACTAATTTAAATTCTTGGATAACTGTAATTTGATATACTAATTAGTAATTTAACTATAATTCCAAATATACTGATATTGAATAAATATGAAAAATTGTATGGTCAAGTGAATAAAAGTAGGAAGTGACATTTATGAAAAAAAAAAAAAAAAATCATTACGTCAAGTGATGTTTTTTTTTTTTTACATATTCTCCTAACAGCTATATAAATTCAATATTTGACTTAAAACTTAATTGGTAAAAGTATTAAGTGACAAAAAACGTCTGCCTTGTAATAGACAAAGTTAATTGGTGCATTTATAAACTTCATCAATAAACAAGCTTACTTTTTATTAATTAAATCACTCATAAAATCCTCAATATGGCTGTTTTCAAAGTGAATATAAAATTACCTATTATTTTTCCACCT